ATCGCACTAAGCACATAGCTTTTAATTTACGCCACAGCAGATACCGAGTCAGAATAGAACACTGTTTTGGTATCCTTAAAGAGCGTTTCGGAAGCTTAAAGGAACTTAGGATACGTGTACGAGATGAAAAAAGTCACAATTTCTGCTCGGAATGGTTTATGACTTGCTGCGTCCTGCACAACGTTCTCATTAAAAGTTCAGAGTTTGAGGATTATGAACTAAATGGTAATACTGATGATGGAGAAGTTGAAGTATTCACCAATACTTTTTCTGAATTCAATCAAAATAACCCAGAAGCAGAAATTAAAACACAAAACTTATACTCCTATATGTTTGACTAAAAAATACGTAAACATACATAAGTTATATCGTTAGGTTTATTTCATTTTAATTAATTTCCGCTTCTAAAACATACAAACGTAACTTTAATAAAAAAAAGGAAGTGCGCCTGGGCCACACTGTAGAAGTGAAACTTACATTACTTATCTATCTATACATACACACATCTGCTTTTGCTTAAGGTTATATTTTTTCGCTTTTTTTTCTATCAATATCCCAATTCTATCAAGATCCCTACCTACCACTGTTCGTTTTAATAACATTCATGTTATTTTGTTTTTCCATTATCTTCATTTTTATCTTTATACTTTATCGATAACAAAATCGATGACAAATTCGATAGAATTTCAATAGCAACATGGATAATACCATTGGTAGCTAAATCGATTAGAAAATCGATAAAAATATCGATAACAAAATCGATAAATCTCGATAACAAAATCGATAAATATTGATAAATATCGATAACAAAATCGATAAATATCGATAACAAAATCGGATAAATATCGATAACTAAATTGATAAATATCGCTAACAAAGTCGATAAATATCGATAACAAAATCGATAAGAACCGATAACAAAATCGATAATTATCGACAACAAATTCGATGAATATCGATAACAAAATCGGTAAATATCGATATTAAATCGATATTAAATCGATAAATATCGATAACAAAATCTATAAATATCGATAACAAAACCGATAAAAATATCGATTATTTTATCGATAGGTCTCGAGAATCCCGAAAATCTCTAAAATCCCAAAATAGTTCCCAGATTGAGTCTCTGTGTCTCTCTCTATATCCTTTCCTCTTTAATTACCTCTACTTTAATCTTTCTTCCCCTATCTTCATCTTTGCTTTTATCGATATCCTCATCCTCCTCTTTGTCTTTACTTTTATGTTCATCATTTTTTTCAGCTACATATTCCCCTTCACATTTGCCCTTATATATACATATAAGTAAAGTGTTTAAATTTCCTTGGTCTTCATTTTTGCCTTTATCTTTACGCATCTTTGTTTTTGTTTTTATTTTTACCTTTGCCTTTATCCTTTTCTTCATTTATGTACGTAGTCACCTTTACTTTTATTCTTGTATTGGTCTTTTTCTAAGTGTTATATGCATACACACAAGAAGCACTTGTTTCAGCCCCAACCATTTCCGTTGCATCATTTCCGTTGCATCATTTTCGTGGCATACACACAAGAAATACTTGTTTCAGCCCCAACCATTTCCGTTGCACCATTTCCGTTGCATCACTTCCGTTGCATCATTTCCGTTGCAGCATTTAATTTCATTTTCATTTCATTTCATTTCATTTATTAATAAAATCATTAGCACAATAAGATCAAAAGAAAGATCTTTTATAGCGCAACAAAAAATTCATAACAGTACATACATATAACTAAAACAGCACAAATTACTTAAGACTAAATAAAAGTAACATAATATAATTAACAGAGTAGTATTTTTAAGTGAGTTCCACAATTCCAAGACATATACTTAAAATAAGACTTAATTAGACAAGTACATAGAGAGCACATCACAGGGATTGAAGTGAAGCAAACGGAAATACGCATACAGAACATTTTTAGAGTTGCTTTTGTTTAAGCTACTGCGAATATGGGATGGAATAGAGTTCCAGATACGGATAGCATTGACAAAGAATAGCCGTGCAGAGCTGAGATAATTGTAGGTAGGAACAGTCAAGTCCTCGAGTGGATTTGGGGAACGTTAATTTTTCATATAGATATTTGGGTGCCTTATTTGTCATGAGACGAAAAAGGAGTATGCAATTTCTAGCTTTAAGATATTCTGAAATTTCGCAGCCAAGTAGGCGCGTTCTCCAAGCGGAAATATGCTCATATGTTGCTAGCCCAAACACATAGCGCGTGATCTGGTTAAATACTACATCTATTTTGTGAGCTGATTGGGAATCTAACCTGCTGTAGACTACCTCAGAATAACAGATAATTGGCATTATAAGTTGGATTGCGAGTTTACATCTGATTTCTATCGGTGTGAATGGAGCAGACATTCGTAAATTCCTTAAAGTATCATAGACTACAGTTGAATTCACATGGTCAATGCAGGATAATAAACCCCAGGTTAGTTACTTTTGACACAAATTTAATTGGTTTGCCACCAATGTGTAACGATGGAATAGTTGCTAGGTTAAGACGTTTCTTACAAATAGGTAAAACAAAACACTTGTCACAATTAAGACGATGACTATTTAACTGTGCCCAGGAGCTTATAGACATCAGTTCTCTGTTGAAGCTTGCGCACAAATTAGCTGACTCCTCAAGAGGACCTGACATATAGAGCTGGACATCGTCCGCATAGGCATGCATGTTGGCGTGCATAGAAGTCCGAAATATATCATTAACGAACAAACTAAATAGTAGTGGTCCTAAGATTGACCCTTGTGGGACACCCGTGAACAAAGGCCTTTGTTCAGATATTTGAGATCCAACCTTGACACGCAGAGACCTCTCTTTCAGATAGCTACGCATCAGTTTCACTGCTGACTCTCCAAACCCAAAGTAGTTATTTAATTTAAAGCACAGTAGTTCGTGGCTAACTGAATCAAAGGCTTTAGAGAAGTCCAGCAAGCATAGTAGAGTTAAGTGGTTCTTGTCGAACAGTATTCTAATGGGGTCTGAATCCGGATTGAAATGGGGATATAAGGTTGAATTTACCGATGTGGGAAGAGATTTGTTCAGATAACAAAGATTCGAAAACTTTAGACAAGGCTGGTAGTATGCTGATGGGTCGGAAATCACTAGGGCTGGATGCGGATTTATTTTTGGCTACAGGAAGCACAGTAGCAATCTTCCAGGCATCGGGAAAACAGGACGTGGTGAGACTATGGTTTATTATGTGTGTCAAGGTTGGCAAAATAATCGGTAAGATTACCTTCACAAATCTAATCGGAATGCCGTCCTCCCCGATTGCGTTGGACCTGATCTTAAAAACAGATTTCACCACATCAATCTCGCTCACAGCAATGAACTCAAACTTTTCGCCAGCAAAAGAGAC